CTTCCAGCTACTGTGGTGATGGGCAGCCTGAGCACAGCTCAGGATCTATGCCCCTGAGAAGAGCTTAGCTCCAATATATTCAGCCCTTTCACCTCACCTGGGAAACCTCAGCCTCTGTGGAAATCCAGAAGAGCCCAAAGTGTCACAACTACGGGGACAGAGCCAAGTGAGGTTAGACCAGCCCTAGGCACTCCCTCCAAAATAGATGCCTCTGTTGAAAGTAAAATCTAAAGCAGCAAGTCTCACCATGAAGACTGCGTAGGGGTCTTCCTTTCTGTGCGCACTGACACAAAGAAGCATCTCCTGATGCTCTGTATGAATGAATTTCTCTAGGAGGACTGTAGAGAGCTCTGCATACAGCTAGGAATCTTAAGGAGCTGATGAGGATTCACCTCTCCTTTGTCAGAAAATCTGATTCAGATCAATGGAACAAAGCGATTGTTGCTGCCACAGGCAATAGCCTAGAGGTGTGTGCGTGCAGGAGTGTGTGTGTGTGTGTGTGTGTGTGTGTGTGTGTGTGTGTGTTTTAACGGCCAAACTGGACTGTCAGGGTATTTTGATCTGTGACTAAAGGGTGAGTTGGAAGGTATCTCCATCCCCATCACTGACCCACTCTGCCTTTTTAAATAGATCCACTTAAGCTACTGCTGTTCTCCAAGCCATTAGGACTTATTTAAGGGGTGAATTTTCAGGAGATTACATATCACTCCCACTATAAAGCACACTGAAATTGCTCATATGACGTACCCCACAAAGCGTTATGAATTCTGCATCGAAGCTAAGTAGAAAAGTGAGCTTGCTCGGAATAAAGATCTTTCAGAGGACTACAAAAATTACTTTTGGGAAATTTGATTTGGAACGATGGGGTAGATGCCATTACCTTTGAAATGACTGTGTTCGGAATGCGTTCCGAGTGTTAAAGCTGCACTTTGCAGTTTGCTGTGATGTTAACCTCTTTGTCACCATTTCGAACGCACAGTGGGAAGAGTGCTTTGTAAGGGCACACTGGAGGCTCAGCTGGCGGCAGTGCGTGCTGTTCATCCCTTTCCAACGGTTTCACCAGCTCTTAGGAGTGCAGAAATAAGCCAAGAGCGGTCCTTTGCTGAGCTGCTGTGTATCCAGCCAGCCAGAGGTCTTCTGTAGGTCTCCTGTAGGCCTACATAACCAACCCAGTCAATATGGCAACAATATCAAACTGCAGAGATTATCTAACCTCCCTAAAGAATAAGATAGAGTGTCTTGTAAAAGACATAGTTCCAATCTGATGTGCTTCTCTTCAGTCTTTAATGATTACAAATCACTTCATCTTTTCTTCTAAGCCAGTGCCTTGAATGTTGAGTCTTCTAGCAGGAGGGGACCCTGTATCTTCTATGGCAGAACAAAATAGTACCAATCCAGTCACCTCAGAGGTCAAGTCTGCAGCCCAAGACTGTAGAGGGGACATATTCAGCCATAAGACTGTGAAAGTTAACTTGCCACCAACTGCTGGGTGACCTACACTTGAGTCTTGGGTACGTCTGTTTAGATGAAGAAACTATGTTCCAAACCTGTTGGAGATGATGTGGTGAAAATAAAGTACCCTTGAATTACCAACAGCCCTCCCTCGCATCACCTGAGCTGTGCTCTGGAGGTTGTTGGCTCCTGGGGCTTGCGTTGGGTCTTATCTTTGAGCTGTTAGAAATCACTAAGATCCACTCTCCTTCGCCCTCAATATTGCCTCAGTGGTTTGGTACATGGGGCTGTTGGTTTACTCTTAGAGGGCAGCCTCACAGTAGTCCTGGTGGGCACCTCTCTTCTACTGGACACTGGGCTCTAACAAACTGAAGTACTGAGTGCTCCATCTCCACTAGGTGATACTCATTAAAAAAAAATCTTGGAAACTGCCCCAGTGACATTAACACAGCACAGTCAGGTATGCACTCTGAAAGACTGCATTGGGTAACTCTGATCACAGTATCTCCTTTTTAAATGTCCTCCAGCAAGGCCTTGAATGGATGGGAACAGTCTTTCCCTGCTGTTGTGTAAACATGCAATTAGCCTTGTACTTATCAACTTCAGTATCATTAGGCTTGTAGACCCAGTTTAATCTGGATTCTGTTCTCTTCTCAATGTCAGCCTATTTCTGGACCAGTACAGAGCCAGCCTTGTTGATGCAATAAAGAGATTACTCCAGCCCACAGTAAGTATGTTTCTATTTTCTCCTGGACACTGGCTACAGAATAATTAGTCTGTGCACAAAGATGGGGAGAGTAATGGAATGGCGGGATTAATGTCATGTAATACTTTAATATTTATTATGTGCAACTTCAATTGGGTCTTCTGATCTATCAGGTTTTTCCTAATCATAACTAGGAAACTTCTTACCCTTGGCCTTCTGATAAGGAGCACTGTGGGAAGTAAAATAAATGAAACGGTTTCAAAGATAGCATGAGATGATTTTAATCAAAGAATTTCTGGAGTCTTTCCCTTTGATAACAATATCTTCATATTAAAGTAGAATTATGATATTAAAATTTTTATGTTGACTTCTGTTGTTTTAAATCCCTTCGGTGGTAACCTTTGTCATTGGGTATTTATTTATCGTGTAAGATTACTTTTTTCTTTTTATTTCTGTTTATATCAAAGAAAAAAGGACTTCCAGATGAATCTGTATATTAAAAGTTCTTTGCTTTAAAAGGAAGCCATTATTTACATATTATAAATATTAGGTCACAATGAAGCCAAGCATGGCATAAAATAGTGTGCACATTTTTACATTCATATATCCATTTATGCCTGTGAGTAAATTACAGAGTTTGTATCCACCCTTATTTTGTTGAGCTGTTATACTAGGCTAGGAGGTCCTGTAGACTAAATGGAGAGTTAATATACATCTATTTAAAGTAAGAAAACGAGTTTAAAGCTCGTGCATTTAAAAAAAAAAAAAAACTTACAAGTACGTAAGACCTTTGCCATGCCACAGGAATTTAAAATAGGCTGACAGTTTTAGTGTAACCTAAGATAAGAAGTCACAGTTACCTGATATGACTGCTGTGTGTGTATGTGTGTGTCCATGTCTGTGTATTTTCTAAAGTTTTGTTTCCGAAGTCTTTTGTGAAGACTATAGCCTTGTGACCCCAGTGAGACTTATAGACTAATACCTTGCAATCTTTCTTTTATATCTTTCTCACACCGAAGACTCCCAGAGCAATTTGATAATCATCCATTGCTTCTACAGTGTTGCTTTTTATTTCCTTATCTCTCTCTAGTTCAGAAACTTTAAATAGGCCTCTCAGAGGAGTAACGCTTTGTAAGTGGCAATCAATTCAATTAAATCGGCCTTCTCCATTCTGCTTCTGAAGTGGGAAGTAGGTCCTGAGGCAAGGAAGGGACATGTGCCAAGCTGCTGCTGGCTGCTGCCACACGGAGGAGGCCGCCCAAGTTGAGGGCAGCAGAAGGGATGCTGGGCCTCTTCTGGGCCTCTTCATCTCCCGTGTTAGCCTTGGAGGATGCTTGCAAGCATTTGCAAGACCAAGATTCTCGGGGAGGGCACTGAGATGCTTGGATGCAAAGCCTCTATGAAAATGTCTCATACATAAACACAATGCTTTCAAGGACTCTGGGATCTCACACGGCACAAACAGTACTTCACTATCACCAACACCCCTTCAAAGCCTATTTGTGGCAAATACTCCATTTTGCAGCAGATTTGCATGATTTACAATAGAAAACTGCCCAAGCTATGAATAGACCTAAATGCAGATTGGACTGGAATCTCTTAAGGCTCTCTCATGGTTGTTAAACCCTGAACCGTGCTCCTCCCTGTCTGAAGTATGGCTCCACACCACCCCCTCTGAACCAGGACAGCAACCCCCCTGACTGACAGCCAGTTCTTAACCTTATGCCAGAAAAAGCCAAGGCCAGGAGCAGATGACACCTCCACCGGCTTCAGGCAGAAGGCTAAGGCCAAACCTAGATGCAGCATTACAAGTGGGATTGGAGCCCCTTACTTGGGCTCCTCATAGGATTGCTAATGCCCAAGGCTACTGAACGTTCTGGTTCAGGGGGCCTACTATCAGAGAGGAAGTCTGAAGTAATGAATAGCATATGGGCATATTGAAACTATCACTCAGAATCTCAGATCTGTAGAGGCAGGGGACTTGTACCCTGGACCTCTCTTATTCACTGGGTCCTAGAAGGGTCATATGGACTAGGCAATAAAGAATCCCAGTGCTGGTGGGCCTGGGGCTTCCCACATACTAGTGGGGAAACCTCTCAAGGCTGGTTCTCACACTTCCAACGGACTTCCCCACTGAGTAGACAGTCATACTTCAAGACTAAGATCGCATGCAATGGCTACACTTAAAGCAAAGCGTAAGTTTATTTTGAACCTAGACAATTCCTCCATGGTTCTGTGGCCCGGTGTATGAAGATAGTCTAAGTGTCCACCAGGGACATAAGATGGAGGAGGATTCTGGTGGATTCAGAGCCATGGTGGTTCAACATGGAATACTGCAAGCTCTCAGGGTCTAAGCAAGAGTCCCTAGAGCAAGAGTCCCCAGAGTGAGCTCCTGGGAGAGACATCACAATGGCTAGAATGCGGTGGTGCATGCCTGTAAGCCTAGCATTCAGGAGGCTGAGGGAACAGGAGTGTGAATTTGAGGGCAGCCTCAACTGTATGGCAAGCTCAAGGCCTGCCTATACTACATACTGAGACAGTAAGTCTCCTGAATGGCATCTGGCCTTATCTATCACTCTAGCAACTATTGAGGTTAACATAGGAGACAATGGTTCTAAGAAGTCATGGCAGCCTGGCTGATGGGAAGCAGAGTGTCAGGCTCATTTCAGCACTAACAGGCTCTGAGGCCTCCTGTCATGCCCATTTGTCCCCAGTGAGGGGAAACTGAGAGTTTATCCACATTCCTAGTGAATCTGTCAGCTCCAGGACCCTAAGTCCTACTTACCAAGGTAGGCACAGTTAGACCGGAAAACATAGGGTCACTTCTGGCCAGTGTCTAGTGAGTTTCATTCTCTGGAAACCTCAGCTTCTTCTCTGTAAAATGAGAGACGTCAATCCACTGTGGTGCTGGCGACCAGAAGGTTCAGAAACTTTTTGACTGCACTAAGGGCAGGGTACAGGAGGCACTTGCCAAGCAAGGGCTTTGAGGAAAGCTGTCAGGAAGGGAGGGCTATTCCCTCGCCCAGACCAGGGATCTCTGCGCATGCCCGTCTGCACTTGCTTTCTGCTATGCAGGAGCCCCCAGTACAGCAGAGCCTGACTGGTCTGCGGGCACTGCCTCCTGGGTGCATACTGGCACTTTCTACTGCATACAGCCCTCCTAGGTAGGAAGAGAGCCAGGGCTATATCCGTGAGAGTTAAATAATCACAACATGGAGGTTAGGGTGTCAGGCCGCGGGAGGAAGCAAGCTCTGTACTTTTGAGGCATATCTTTACTTAGTTTCGAACCCAACCAGATTAGTGTTTGGGGATTCAGAGGGTCCACAAATAATTGAAACAGAAAAAGAAAAAGCGTTCCCTGCTTTTCTGTTCTTAGAATGGAGCAGTCATAAATGAGGGGAAATAGATGGGTGGCGGGGAGGGGAGTGTCTCAACAGCACTGTTTGATCCTAAAGCTGACCTCACGTCCTCAGCCAGATAGTCCCAGAGCTTGCAGAGTCGCCACACCAGGCCTGAGATTCCATCAAGGAATAAAAACTCCACCAGCCTGAAACAGACTTTTTTCAACTCTGGGGGGAAAAAAAACACACAAAAAAACTGCATATGCAGTTGGCTTCTGTCCGAGTGCTAGGAGGAACTTTCTAAAAAAGAGAGACATTTTTTAAAAAAATTATATCAGTAAGTTTTACTCATCCCAAGAGTCAGTGTTCCCCACTAGTCTCCCCGGCTGGTGAGTGGTTTCTCCTTGCTGATGATTGATGGTGTGTCTGCTTAAGGCCATGTTCCCTAAAGTCTGTGACAACAGTCATGTCCTATATCAGAAGACCCGAAAGCAATTTGAAATCCGGCCAGAGGAGCCTGCACGTTGAACAGCACTGACAAACAACAAATGACACCTGCTAATGTCCCTCTAAAGGGGATGTGTGTCCCAGAGGGCCTCCCGGGCGGCCAGGCAGCAGGAGACCACAAGGAGGCGATGCAGATAGCACTCCAGCTGGTTGTCACTGTCCAACTGGCTGCCAGTTGTCCACAGCCCAGAAATACCAGTGTGGCCAGTGAGATGGCTCAACAATAAAAGTGCTTGTCATGCAAGCCTTCGGACCTGAGTTCAACCCCCTGCAACACAATGGAAGGAAAAAACCAGAACTCGTTCTCAAAAACAAACAAACAAACAAACAAACAAACAAACCCTGGCTGCAGAGGGGGTGCATGTCCTTAATCCCAGCACTTGGGAAGCAGAGGCAGGAAGATCTCTGTGAGTTCAAGACCAGCCTGGTTGACCTAGAGAGTTACACAAAGGACTACACAAAGAAACTATATCTCAAAAAAACAAACAAACAGAAAGTTGTTCTCTGACTCTAATGTATGCACTCATGTGTGCATATATACACATAATAATAATAATAATAATAATAATATCCTTTAAGTGTCACTGAAGGATTCATATAACCTTCAAAACCAGGAGTCACAAGATCCTAGGAGCCTTGCCTATGTCCAGGGAGTCCTGTAGTTGGAAACCATTTTAAAAGAACAATTTCTTCTTAATGACCGACTTCCTCATCTTTTTAAAAATATGACATCCTGGACTGGAAAGATGGCTCAACAGTTAAGAGCACTAGCTGCTCTTTCAGAAGATCTGAGTTCAATTCCCAGAACTTACATAGTGGCTCATAACTATCTGTAATGGGATCTGATGCCCTCTCCTGGGGTGCATGAAGACAGTGTGCTCATATACATAAAATAAATCTTTTTTTCAAATCTAATATCTGTGTTTGCATCTGCACAAACACCTTTTCTGCCTCTTTGAGGGAAATTGCCATGTGTGGGGAGTGGGCTCCATGCTTTGGCTGAAGCTGTGCCATAAACCACAGTAGGAAATTCCTTCCTACTGGCCAGGTCAGAGGCCTAGCAAATCCTCACCAGCTCTTGGTGAGGAGCTGTTCCGCCATCCCTTGCTTACCTCATGGTAGAAACGGGCTTGAAAAACAGAGAGCTCCTAGATGGCTCAAAGGCCCTCAGAA